GGTTTCCCACTGCTGCAGATCAAACCAAACTGAATCAGTCGCAACAATATCAGATTGAGAAGTCTTCCTCCATGAGCTGCCATATCAGGTTCCATAGAATTACAAATGTAAAACAGAAAATACAACAGCGCAGAGTATTAAAGGCTTGTTACCATGTACAGCACATCACCATCACTGGGGTTCTAAAGGCAATCTGCCCCTAAAGTCATCTCATGTACATTATTTTCTTTGCTCAAACTGTAGCTTTTCTTACTCTTAACAGTCAACAGCATGGACTCTGATGCGGAATATAAATTACTTTTAGTGAGACATTACTTTGACCACATTAGCTTAAATGCTATAGAAATTATCTTTGATTAGCTTTCAGAGACAATAAGAGAAAAAGCATGTATTTGCCATCCTTAAGCAGATTATGTGCCGCATGAAATGCTCATGAACAAAAAATGTTTCATCAAACATTTAAGCTGCTTTTCACATAATAGATATCTCATACTGCAACTGATGTTACATCACTGCATTTTATATACATTCTTCAGTTGTGCTTGCATCACTTTGGTATCAGTCTACATGTATTCATCAATCACTGAGAAGCAGTTCTGAAATACTGGACACATGGCAGTCAAAATCCAGGGTTTCATTCCTGTATTTCAGGGGGGGGTTTAATGTTATGATCACATAACCTCTCACATAATACTACTAGTGCAGGATTAGTCAGTGAAAATTATGGAACCAGTCATAGTGATAGTTTAGCTACCTGATTAAGTACTGCAAGAATATGAATAGCAGTTGGAAAAATTGGATAACGCTACACAATACTCTACTAATAACTCTTTAAAAACAGCAGAACTATTTAGGGGTAAAAAGATATTCCAAAGAAATAAAATTTAGGAGTTCTGTTTGCTCTGGCAGTATTCTTTGAGAAAAAAATTGGAAAAGGTGGCAGGTCAAGTGTGGACTGGCAGCCTTGAATAGCACATGTCAAGAAACGGGAGTTGGCTAAACTATCATTTCCTGAATTGTTACACCTGGAAGGAAGGATTTTGTTCCTTCCCAATATTAAAGCCATTGTTCCTACTCTGCTCCTTGCCTCAAAATGAAGTGCATCTTATTTGGTTTTCACCCACTACTTTCAATGACTTTGGTTTTCAAAATGTATCCCTCCACTCTTTACATCTGGGAAATTGGCACTGTGTTTGAAACATGTGAAGGTCTTCAAAAACCAAACAGCTATGCAAAATAATTTAACTTTTGGTGACTTAAAACAGTTAATAGAAAAGCTCTGGAACTCTGATAACCTTAAAGGAGAACAGAATTGCTTTATGTCTTCTGACCTCTCCTATGGCAAAAAAAAAGTCTCTACATCACACAACTGTGGAAATTCAGTACATAAAGTCATATGCTTTTTCCACAGATTGTGCCACAAAAAGCTTTGGATTTTCGGACATTGAACATTACCTTGACAACACCACATCACCATTCACTATACATCAGAGTAACAGTTCTATCTTAGAAACTCAATTTAAATCATTACTTCAGAACATGACGAAAAGTTCACTCATCTCAAGACTCCCCATACACAAATTGTTACCAGATGGGTTTATCTTTGTATTTGAAAGCAATCAAAATAATTATGTTAAATAGAATACAAAACAACAGTTAATTCATGATCATTGGAAATACAACATATGCAATGGTTTTATTCTATGTGAATTAACAATTATTATTTTACTCTGTTTACTGCAAACTATACATTTTTCAGAGACTCATAGAGGCACAGGTTGTAGATCTCTGCAGGTCATCTCGCCCAACTTCCCACAGGCAAACTTCTGGAGTCCAGCTACCAGTAGCAAGTTGAAAGCACTAACTGGATCATCCCTTACTTCCTTTTCCCCAGAATAAACAAATCCAGCTCCCTCAGTCTCTCCTTGTATGGATAAACAGCTGAAGCAAACGATATCTTAATAGCCCTCCTCTGATGTCATTCCAGTTTGTCAACATGTCTCTTGTACTGGTGGGTGCAAGATTGTACAGTATCCCAGATGAAGCCTTACCGAATGCCAAACAAAGGGCAGTAATCACTCCTCTCAAGCAACTAAATACATTCTTATATATTCATAAGCCTATTGAACTGTGAAATTTTAACAGCAATTCAAAAAACCAGCAGGAAATTGCTTTAATGACTCAAACCTTTAAGAGCAATACACTACACTTGCTCTATTATACAGCACCGCTGTTTTCACACCTTCCTCAATAATCATCATGAGAACAACATATACTATATACCACATTGAAGATGCTTACCTGAATAACTTTGTAGAAATAGGCATACTGTCGAGCTGTATTTTTATATTGGCTAAAAACATCGTGTATGGCCTGAGTTGACTGAAGATACTGTACTTCATCTTCTTCAAAATAGAGAGGAGTGTCATATTCACTGGGGAGCGTCTGGATGTAGGGCAGCCAGAAAGAGTTGGGGTTTGCTCGTTCACAAAGTAGATGGAATGCCAATGTTATATTGCCCATGGCTTGTAGAATTCGATCTTGAGAATACAGGGATCCTGAATTAACCCAGAAAGGTGAGGCGCTAAATTAATTGTCCATGGAAAATATCATCCTAGATTTACTTTAAATTGACATAACAACATGTAAGAATTTTCAACAACAACAAAAAAAAGCTTTTCAGTTTTCTAAAATATTTAGCTGCCCACATTGTATTATGCTGCAAGTTATTTGACACAGTAAATGCCTCATGTACAATTGCATGATGGAAGACATGAAGAAATTAGAACAATACTCTCAGTACCTCGGAACATTTTACCTCCAAGTGTTATACAAGCTACATGATATGTGTTCAAAATAACATACAAACTTCTGGAAGATATCTAGTGCCCTCAGCCAGGAACAAAGGGGAAAATTAAATTCTTTCCACTGACATTTAAAGCTTCTAGGTATTCCAAACCTGATTCTCGGCATGATAAGCAAGTCCTGTAATAAAGGAGATCAGCTAAAAAAAGAGAAAGTCTATTGAATGATCCCATTCATATTGACTTCTTGCTTAAGAACTTCCTTAAGCTCTTACCTAATACTGAATTTTTAGCTGACTCAACTGTCATCAACAGTTTTCTAGGAACCCACAGAAACAACTCTTCAGCCTACAGGAAGGAAAAAATGCACAGAGGGTCAGTTAGCATTTATATGATATGCCAAGTGTCTCAAATATACATCATCTTTAAATAACAGGTTGTTTCAATTTTTCTTTTTAAAAATCAAAACTATTCTGAATTAGAATTCTTCCTTCTCTTCCACTGAAAATTAAACAAACATGTTTCATATTGTGGTAACCAAATGTTCCGATCTGCATTCCACAAACCTAAAAACCAAGATACTTATATTACAAATCAAAATGCTTCAGTTTGGAACTGCTAACATGTAGATTGCCCACACAAACTCAAAGCTACCAGAGACATTATATTGCTATTAATTACATGATCAAATATTTTCTTCCAGTAGAGGTTTTTTTCACATTGCCTGTTCTTATTTTGGGAGAACTATTCAGGATTTTTATCAACTAGTAGTGCTAGCCTTATTAACTATGTGCTACTAAAGCCCTACAATGAATATAATATGCTCATTTACTAATATTCTTTCTACAACAGCTGATTGTTCTTCAAAGCTATTTCCCATCTGTAAAATGGGACTGGAAAGAGGCAATTTTAAATGCTTGCCTTTTAACAGTTAGCTAACTGTACAAGTCTATATTCCTTACCTGACGACCAAAAGATATTATTCACAATTATCAGGTAATTTGGGGTTGGGGTTTTTTTTTTTTTCCATTTTCACTGGAAAAAAAGGTATTGCAAATACCTCTTTCTGAGGCAAAACAACCAATGCTTTAAAAGAAGGGACATGAAAGAAGAAAAGAGACTAAGTAGTTAGAAAACATGGAAGAGATACACCAATGGGGTACTCTAGTGACTGGGTAAAGACTATAGGCTACAGAGAGAGAAAAAAAGGCTGATTGAAAATTCACAGTGTTATCCAATAGTCATAAAAATAATACTTAATTTAATCAATAATTTATTTCTCAAGTACGCAGAGTTGAGAGAATTTCAGAACAGCAGTTTCACAAGCAGTCAAAAGGGGGAAGGGAAGGTGGTAAGTGTTTCAGAGCTCTGCAGCTGCATTCCAAACAAAATTTTCTAATCTAAGTCAAATGTTCACATGCTCACCTTTATCTCTCTTGTTGCTTTCAAACCAAACCCCTCCTCTTCAAAGTTGGCTATTTCAAAACCCTCTGTGGATGCTCCATTTTCAGTTGCCCACTTTATCAATTCAGGGAAATAGTCATCTCTTTTTCCATCAAAGACAACAGACAAACCTATATATACAATTTATTAAAAAACAAATGCAGAAATAAGGGGATCTAGAAAGATAAAGAAGTTCAATATAAAAGCACATGTAAAAAGCTATCTGCTATCCCACAGCAGTTCTACTTTGAAGTAGCTGAGTCAGAACTGATCTTTGTTAAGTGTTACTCAACAGCATACAAACGTCATACCCAATTTTCATCAACTTAAATATTTCTGCCAAATTGGCTTACCAGTCATCTTAAAAACACAACCACCTAAACTGAGATGTGATGAAATATGAAATTATCTTCCTCTTTCCCTTTTAAATAAGCTGAGCAAAAATATTTCCCAGCTTAATATTGATGATAAATGCAAACACCACAGCATGTTAATAGAGACACAAGGAGGAATTTGAGAGGCAAGCTGCAATTTCATTAATTCAGCACTGGAAATTAGGATAAGACGATCTCAAGCTCCTTCTCTCACATACAAGGCAGTTAGCTTTTTCCTGTAGCATACGGATCCACCAAAATAACTAAGGACTGTTCATCCTCCTGACATCACAGAGCTCGTCCAAATTTTTACACTTTGTTTCTCTAACAGGCACGTAGTCCACTGGTGAAGTAGCAAGCTTCATTCATTTCCTCAGCTTTCCACTTTACAATCATCTGATTTGAACCTATGCATTATAGTTCCCGGCTATACTCAGCCACCTCCTTTTGTACCTCTTTTCCTCTGCATTCTCTGCAACCCAAAGTGTCAAATCATGTTAAAAGTGTCCAAATGCCCCTGAAATGCTCAGGCCATTTTATGAGTGACAAAATGGCATCAGCATGTTGCTTATATCCAAAGATATTTTGGTTTAGCACAGGTGATAAATACATCTTTAGATTAAAAAGGTTTTAAGAAAGTAGCATTAGTATATTTGAAATACACCCCACCCTCCAAATAATGCATTTCAAGCCCCAGACCCAATCAAATCCACAGGTAACATCAAAGTGCAAGCATCATCTAGAACTATATTCTTTGATGGTCCAGTAGAAAAACTTAATATTGATAAAGTATTTTTTGAATGCAATGAGAATGTGGCACACAGTGGTTTGGGTGGGGGTTTTTTGGTTGGGTTTTGTTTGTTTGTTTTTGTGGGTTTTGTTTTTTTTTTTTTTAAAGCTGGCATTTCTCCTTAATTTCATACTCCCTTCAGTATGCTATTTTCTGTGGAATATAGAGAGCTAAGGCCTCACAAATCTAGTAAGCCTAGTTGCAAGTTTCTACAGAAACTTGATAGGTGTTTATACTGCCCAGGACTTTGCTCTTTTGATTTCCAACATTTACTACTGTATAAAGCTACTGGAAGCTTTTAACATCCAATAGTATTTGGAACCATTCTGTAAGCATCTCTGCAATTCTACCTCTGTTCCTCATATATGATGTGGTCCAATACTTCCCACATTTTTCTAAACTAAAGAGAAGACCAGCTCTTTTAAATTACAAACACTATTGGGGAACAATTTATTTCTATACTGAACAAAATATAGCTATACTGATGAAAATCTATATTGAAAAATTAGCTTTAAGGTTTTGTTAATGAGTCAAACAAGGAAAAATTTTAGAAAGTAAAAGCACTCAGTTTTCAAATTAAGAGTTTTCTATAATCAAGATCATTTTAGATCACATTCTGCAACCCAGTGTTCTATTCAAGAAAAGCACAAAGTCTGACACTTAGGCAATATATATTCATCTGTACATCTCGGTTTCCATTAGCAATTTATACCATCATGCTGGTTTGGGCTGGGATAGAGTTAATTTTCTTCACAGTAGCTGGGGTGGGGCTGTGGTTTGGATTTGTGCTGAAAACAGTGTTGGTAACACAGGGATGTTTTCGTTACTGCTGAGCAGTGCTGACACAGAGCCAAGGCCTCTTCTGCTCCTCACCCCACCCCACCAGTGAGTAGGCTGGGGGTGCACAAGGAGTTGGGAGGGGACACAGCTGGGACAGCTGACCCCAGGTGATCAAAGGAATATTCCATACCATATGGCATCATGCTCAGCATGTAAGGGGATGGGGGGACGTTCAGGTTGATGGCATTTGTCTTCCCAAGTAACCGTTACACATGATGGAGCCCTGCTTTCCTGGAGATGGCTGAACACACCTCCCTGCCGATGGGAAGTGGGGAATGAATTCCTTGTCTTGCTTTGCTTCACGTGTGGCTTTTGCTTTACCTATTAAACTGTTTTTATCTCAACCCATGAGTTTTCTCACTTTCTCTCTTCTGATTCTCTCCCTCATCCCACCAGGAAGGGAGTGAGTAAGCGGCTGTGTGGGGCTTATTTGCCAGCTGGGGTTAAACCACAGCAACTTCCTTGCTAATTGTTAAAGCCGTTATTAAGCTAGAAAACTGTGTACTATAAATTACTATGTTCTACTAAAAATAGTTTTGAAAGACACCATACTATTCATACTCACTATGTATGTAAAAATGTTACATTAAAAGACATTTGTACGTCAACTGTGCTGTGGTTAGTAGGTTTTGCTTCTTTCAAGGAAAAAAAAGCTTTATTAACATAATACTGTTATACTAATTCTACCACCTCTGCCAGCAGCTATTTTCCCCATGGATGGTTTGACTGCCCAACCACAATGCTAACTCTTTTCTTGTTAACCTGAATGATGTTTTACCCTAACACATGTATTACATCATAAAAAGCTGGACATGTACCATAAGTTTACAGAAATCATGGGACAGCAAAACAGTGAATCAAGTTCATCTCTACACAGCTACAGGGATACAGTCACTCAAACAGTATCATTTATTCTTCCATATGACATTCTTCCTCTGACAATAACTAATATTCAGAGGTTTAAATGTGCTTTCATGAAATAAGATTTTTATGCATTAGTCAAAATACATTAGAAAAAGGCGTGAAAAGGACATTTCAAGCCTCTAAGTTCCTGCAAGTACATGAACCACTCAAGTTCCATTTTAAATGCAGTCTGGCTTTTTTGTCATCACTGTATAAATACCAGAGAAAAAAGAATTTTTTCGTGACTTTTTCTGGTATGTCCAAGCTCAAATCTATTCATTCCAAGGTTAAGAAGTTACTTCTCATCCATTAACATACATCAGTCATAAAAGAGGTGTAATTTTAGTAAAATTACATGAAAAGCATTTTTAGAGCATGCCTCCAGATAAAAACAAAACTAATAGGAAAATAAAGTATCATCAACAGTGAGTTGTTGCAGAACATACTGGAAGAAAACTGTTCTAGTCTGAAATAAGCATACCTTAAAACTTAGGAAAATTGGCAATAAAGCTCCATATTATCTAAAATAACTGTGGTACCATAAGCATTTCTTTATGTGCTTGATTTATAGCAGATAGCTTTATTAGGTGATATATTTATTTTGTGCATTTACATATGCTTATTTTGTCATAATTTAATGTCATTATGTTGAATTGCTGAAACTGTTTCCACATCCAGTGAAGTGTTTATGTTAAAATAAATTATTACAAATTTGAATTCAAAATGTTCGTATTTATAGAGGCAGAGGGGCAGACTACGCAATCAGGAATCAAAAAGGCCTATTACTCTCAAAGGACTTCCTGGAAGTGTTCAAGGCCAGGTTGGATGGGGCTTTGGGCAACCTGGTCTAGTGGAGGGTGTCCCTGTCCATGGCAGAGGGGGTTGGAACTAGATGATCTTTAAGGTCCCTCCAACCCAACCCATTCTACGATTTTAAATATCAAAATGGTTAATGCCAGTGGTCATGCCCACCAGACCATTTCAGAAACACTTGCAAGTGTAAAAAGCAACTACACATCAGAGAATTAAGATTTGTCACAAAATAATAGGATTGCATAATATTTATATAATAACGATGATGACAACAAAAAAAATTCCTTTTAGCTGTCAGCAGACAATTCTTTAGGCAAATCAATGCTCTGAGCCACCCTCATCTTACAGTCTTTCACATTTACCTTTTTGCTTTTTCCGAATTTTCTCAACAAGCGAACGAATCTGCACATATTCTTCCCATTCCTTACCAGGACCTGGAGTAGGACTGCTGCATTCTGGAAATAAAAACGCCAAATAAAAATGTTTTAATGAAGTGTATATATGTATTTTAACATCAGAGAAAAGGTCATGGTTTCACAGCAACTTTAACTGTCCCTTAGTACTACTTGTCCTTCAAATATGTTTACATGGTAAACATTACAATCTCTATTGCTATAAACATCCCATTCTTTGACATGTAATTAATAAAGACTTTTGAAATTTTCACAGTACGAGCTATCTCAAGTTATTTTTTTTAAATATTCTTTCAGATATAAGAAATATTAGATGGTTAAAAAGCTAGGAAGAAAAGAAGGTAAACCACCAGACTATTAGATAGATACTCTGTCAGATAAGAAAAAAAAAAAGTATTTGCTTTCAATAGTCCAAGCAAAACATTCTCTTTACGTTAGCCTGCTTGCCATCATTCTTGCTGTAATAAAAGCAGACGATAATAGTACTGAGCTTACCTTAACTAATTGAGAAATTTGCTGGTACATACATTTGACCTGCCTAGTCAAGACTGTTTTCATAGATGCATGCATACTGGATGGACAAAGGAACATGTAGCCAAGCTTTAGCTTTACATTATATCAACAGTGTCTCTGACAATATTCTAAATGCCAGTGTGTGGATTTCTTGATCTAAGCCGCATAAATCCAAGTGGACAGCTGAAGATTACCTTGCTCGACTGATTTGAAAAATCTTTGCGTTGAATAAAATATGGAAGCTTGACAAAAAGAACAGCTGATACTTGTCTTTGCTTAGAAAATTAGATCTACATTTTATTTTTGGTAGCAAAGCAGAGGCCAATTGTAGCATAAGCATCAAACTGCTCTGCCAACTCCTTGTCTCCTCTTTGTGAGCAATGATAAAGAAAAATTCTGATTTTTCTAAGACAACATTTAGATGTGTCCAGGATATGAAAATTTGGACTTGTGTTTCAACAAGAAGTGTAGCTCAGCACAGTTACTAATGACAATAGAAAGAGTGAACAGTATTTTAGCATCATCATAGGCAATTATGCTCTGCTTTTCAAATTTACTAGAAATAATGGATGAGTTCCAAGTTCCTCAACAAGTGAAACAACCTTTGGTCTATACACAAAATTAAGCACTACAAAAAGTTTCCAAACAGCAACAACAAAAAAATTTTTACTTAAGCAACAAAAATACCAGTGTACTTGAACTGACTGTTAATGCTGCTTTCCACAGTTAATTTCTCTACTCTGATAGCAGTTCAAAGTACTGTTCAAATGATAAACAGAAACAGTGCAATTCTTGAGGTTTACAAGAAAAACATTTTTGACAAAGCTTCAATGTTGTTATCCAGAGTAGGTTTTTTTTAATCTAGTCTCACCCAGTATTTACGCTTGTGTTGAGACGTAAAGACAAAAGCTGCCAGAAACATGGTATGTCCAATACACATGCATATAAATAAGCCAATAATGGTATATACTAACAGCGATAGATACTCTGAGATACATATTGTACTATCTTATGCAGGCTGAAATAGCAAGCTTGGTCACTTACAGAAATGAATAGAATTCACTGGCTTCAACAAGAGATTGTTTTTGAGTGGTGTGCACATCATCCCTTTTCCCAGAGAGGCATAAAAATGAAACTTACTTTGCAGTAACTCACTAATCAGATTCAACATTTCCTTTGGAGATACTGTCGCTGTGGCTCCTGTACCTGACTTCTGAGTTTTTACTCGGCTCTTCTTCCCCATCTTCCAACTACAATAGATTAAGCAGCACACTGTCACCAATGACTAAGAAACAAAATACAATAATGATGAATAGACAAGATCTTTGCTTATTAGTCACTTAAAAGAAAGAGGATGAGGAGTTGTTTCTGACACATAAATACATGCAAGTATTATTTGCACGACCTGAATGTAAGACAACCATACATTGCAATCTGAAGCAATATTTCATGTAGTTGCACATTAATTACCTCAGGGTAATTAGAAACTAGAAATCTTAGGGAGTAAAAAATAAATAATTCAGATCACTTGCAAATTCATTAGTTGTGAACAAGTATTATGGAAACCAAAGTATCCATGCTATATCAAACTAGGTTATTTTACCTCATCAGCTGCACTGCGGACATCAGCTGAATTAGTATTTGTGACTGCACTGAAGTTGTAATTCAAAATTAATAGAAAATTAAGTATTCCATTTAAAAATAAAATACAAATATCATATGTATATCTTTGCAGCAGCTTCTTGCTGTTCGAGACAACTAGTTAAGGAAAACTTATTTTTAGTTACCACAATAAATGGAACATCATCCTAGGTTCCAATATTCAGAGCCCCTTGTTCCCAGGGAGGACTTAAATCACACATCTACTGGAAGGGCAGCACAACAGAGTGTGAAATATCCAGGGAATCACTCACATGCACTGGGAGCAATTTTTGATGCTGGCACTGAACAGGCTTCTAGGGGAGGGGTTGCACGGGATCCGGTACTCATGAATAAGGAAGAACTGCTCATGCATATGACGGCCAACAGCCCTGGATGCAGTAACTGTGAAACAGTAGTGTAAGATCTTGAGGAAAGAAAGGAAAGAAAGACACAGACTCAAGATTGGACTCACAACACTAGAGCTGGGGCTTGCTCAGGGAATGGTAACCAGAATGCCCTGGGAAGCTACAAAGGAGCCCATGACAGCCAGTCATCTTCCTGAATTCTCTTCTCTGTGCACAAAACCCAGCCTTCCCAACATGCAGGAATATCAGCAGGAGGCCAGCTGACTGTACATGAGACTCATCACTGACCAAGCTCAAACAAAACAGAAACACATGTAAAGTGGAAGCGGGGACAGGCAACCAGAGAATATAGATGCACTGTCTGAAGTGTGGAGAGTGAATTAGGGAGGACAAAGCTTGTCTGCAGTTGATGTTGAAGAGGGATGTGAAAGGCAAAAAGAAATGCTTCTACAGCAGAAGACAGATTGGGGAAAGTCTAATTCAAGCAACCCAGTGAAAGGTACAGAAAAAGTTGAGGTACCCAACACTTTGGGCATGGTCTTTACCAGCAAGGTCTGCTATCAGGCTTCCCAGGTTTCTGCATCTAGTAGCAAAGTTTAAGGGAGGGGAGCTATCAAGTTAAAAGACTAGGTAAGCCAGACCTACACAACTACATAGGGACAGATGGGAAATATCAAGGTACTGAGAAAGCTAGCTGATGTCACTGGAAGGCTGCTGGCTATCATCTTTGAAAAGTCACGGTGATTGCCTGTGGCAGGTAACAAGTAACTTACAAACAAACCCCAACAGAAAAGCAAGTGGGGGCAGGAAAGGATAGAGCATCCAGGGAACTAGATAGTAGTTAGTCTCACCTCATTTGCTGTACAAAATGTAGAGTCCTAAAGGGAAGCTATTTCCAGGCACAATGGACATGAATGCGACCAGTATCAGACAACAGACTTCTAAAGGCAAACTGTGTACAACCAACCCAACTGCCTTCTGAAGAAATACGTGGCTCTGTGGACCAAGGAAAATCAGTGGTTGCCAGTTGCTTTGCCTTAAGCAAGGCTTTTAACACTATCTTCCATAGCGTTCTTGTTGTCAAACTGAGGAGACAAACTGAATAGCTGGACAACAAGGTGGACAAAAAAAATTCCTTGGACCATGAAGTTCAAAGAGTTGTGGTCAATAACTGTAAGTCTAACCGCCAACTGGTTAGACAATATTCCTCAATGGTCAATACTGGGCAGCATCTTCATCGGATTTGGATGCTAGGACAGAAAGCATCTTCAGCAAATTTACAGATGAAAGGGAAAGTAGTCAACATGTTGGAGGACAGGGCCACCATTCAGAGGAACCTCAACAAACTGGAGGAAGTGGCCAAGAGGAACTTTATAAAGTTAAACAAAGACAAATGTAAATTGTCCTGCATTTGGGAAGGAAAAAACCCTATACAGCATTAGAGCTACAGACTGGACAGGCAGCAGCTCTGCAGAAAAGGACTTGGAAACTCTAGCAGAAAGCAAGCTGAAAATAAGCCAGCAGTGCACCCTTAAAGTGATGAAAACTAACCACAGTTTGAGCTGCATAAGCAAGAGCATAAACAACAAGGGAAGTAATTATTCCCTTCTCCTTGGCACTGGTGAGGCCACCTTTAGAGTACTGCACAGTTTTGGGCCATGCAGCACAGGAGGTACTGGCAAACCGGAAAACGTGCAGAGGCCATTAAAATAGCGAAACAGCTGACACAGGAGATGAAAGACATGATGAGGGACTTGGGTTTGTTCAGTCTGGAGAAGAAAAGGAGCCCACTGCTGCCTTCACCTGCATAACGGGGAGTTATATGAAGGCTGGAGACAGATCCTTCTCAGGCAAGTATAGCAAAAGGTTGACAGGCAACAGTCATATGATGCTGCAAGGGAAATTCCAAATAGATATAAGGAAACTCCTCGCCATGAGGGTGGTTAAGCACTGGAACAGGATGGAGATTTAACAGCATCTCCAAGCAACCTTGCAGAATTTAAAAATTTGACTTGGCAAGGCCCTAAGGAACCTGATTTAACTTTGAAGTTAAAGCAGAAAATTGAGCCTCTCAGTCTCCAGAGGTCCCTTCCCATCTACATTTTTCTATGATTCTACATATTACTTCAATTGATGTATTCACCTCTACATGGGCAGCCTATATAGCCTATATGGTATACACTATCTTCCTGTATAGTACAGAAGATTATATGTCCAGTTACTTCACAGCCAGAGGGGAGTCAGACACATTCAAGTAACTTTGGACATCTGAAAGATTTCAGCTGCCTGAGTCGTCAAGATCACCTCAGACATAGCATCTTTAAGTTATCAAACACTGCATAGTAAAATCCATAAAAATGCTAAAAATCACTGTACAGAAGACGTACTTTGGATTCCAGGTGTTCTGAGCACTCTAAATATAAAAGGGATCCTTTTATCCTTGGTCAGTGTAGCTAGCTTACCCAAAATGAAATGTTTCCTCTCATACGTTATCAAAAAATTTTGTTCTTTGGCAGCTGGTATTAATACTGGAATGTATCAACCAGCAGCTGAAAATCTGCTTCTCCACACTGAGCAAGGCTGAACCAATCACAATCCATATGTTCAGTAACTGTATACGGCAGATCAGTTAAATACAAATGCTATAGGTTTAAAAAAAAAAAAATCTAGTGGAAAAGGTACATAATCTGGCTGTTTTCATTTTCCATTAAGATTAGAGTGAACAAGAAACTGCCAGGCCCAAGGCTTATTTTAAATAGTAACTTTAAGTGATCAGGAAGCAAGTCAAGGTTAACATTGTTAACTTATTAACTCAAAATTAAAGGAGCTCAAAACTGACTGAAAAGATGACACCTCATAACAAAAGGGAAAAAATCTAAGGCAAAACTATAAGATATTTTCAAAAAGGAAAGCAAACAAACCAAACCAAATTTCATATTCCAACACTAAGCACAGTGCAAGGAACAAGACTATCCCTGAGTACTTGGAGACTGAAGTCTTGGGGCATAAACTCCCCGTCCCTGATTTTAGCACTCTCCAAGCAGGTATCAGAGGCTCAAACAACCTATCTGTGCTGCTTAATTTTACCAGTCCCCCTTGAGTCACATAACTGACTTTCCCAATACAGTTTCTACCATGAAAAGCCCTCATGTGCAGGCAGTAAGGAGACATCCCACAGATTTAATGTGGAGATCACACTGGCTGGTCACATCCCTTGAGGTTTGTAAATGAACACTGGACATCCTCTAGAAAGACATTGCTCTGCCGCAAGCAATTACATTTGATATGAGATTTTATAACATTTTTCAGCTCATACGAAGCAGGGAGTAACACTCATTATGAGATTCATGCTAATTTATAATAGTACCAATTAGAAATAGGATCAATATAAACAGCCAACCTGCCATAATACAGTGTAAGACAAAGCCACAGAAGAACAATACCACCAAAAAAGAACTTAGAAAAATTTATTTTCACTGTCTTCCCATTATACACTTTTTCTTTTTTTTTTTTTTTTAGTAATGTTCTCATATCTCTAAAGATAAACAGAGCTCTTTGTACAAAGAGGCCACCTTCACAAAGAATTTATTTGCACATCACCTATTCACTTGAGTGTTCCCCTCTCCTGCGAGGACAGGCTGCGAGAGTTGGGATTGTTCAGCCTGGAGAAGAGAAGGCTCCGGGGAGATCTAATTGTGGCCTTCCAGTACCTGAAGGGACCTACAGGAAAGATGGTGAGGGACTGTTTATCAGGGAGTGTAGTGACAGGACAAGGGGTAATGGGTTTAAGCTGAAGGAGGGTCGATTTAGATTAGATGTTAGGAAGAAATTCTTCACTGTGAGGGTGGTGAGGCACTGGAACAGGTTGCCCAGAGAGGTTGTGGATGCCCCATCCCTGGAAGTGTTCAAGGCCAGGTTGGATGGGGCTTTGGGCAATGTGGTCTGGTGGAGGGTGTCCCTGCCTGCAGCAGGGGGGTTGGAACTAGATGATCCTTGAGGTCCCTTCCAACCCAAACCATTCTGTGGTTCTATGATATGCCATCCTGTTTCATTTATTTTAGACCCTTCTACTCTTAAAGAGAAATCAAGTCAGATGTGTCTGTAATGGATTCAACAACAGGTTTGGGGCAGAGTCCAAAATCTTCAGGGCAAGAACAATGCAGTTCTGTGTCGATTCATGCAAATAGTTTCCTGCATTCGCTCGAAGCACAGTCCCCTGCATCTTTAGAATCACCAGAAAAT